ACACTCCAGCCTTTACACTTGCTTGGATCCATGAAATAAATACAGGGAAACAAAAAGGCAAGCACTTCCCAATGAAAAGCTTGGTGCTGCCGTCTCGTGGGAAAGGGGAGAAGGGAAGCTTTGGTAATAAAAGCAGAAATGCAAAAACGGGGGGGAAGGGGAGTTTGAAAACTTGTTAACATCAACACTCCCATTTTTGTTTCAGGAGGGCTGTGTGCTTTATTGCTCACAGATCAGTTTCCTTTGCAGGTGATGTGGGCCCAGAATTACATCACCAGCAGAGCAGCCAAGAGCATCTCGATGCCAGCATGACTGAAGTAGAGAGGAATGTATTATCACAGACCTCCGAGGGACTTGCCAGTGCATTCCTTGCTGGGGGTGCTTCGATGGGGGAGGCAAAGAGGAGACAATTTTACGTGAAGGCTGAAAGGGAACTTTGTGGAGGAAAGAGCCGGGGTCACAGTCTTGCTGTCTCCTCTAGGCAGATCTAATTATGGCCAAGTACTTCAAAAAGAGGGTTTAACTAAAACCAGATTTAGCAGAGCAATGCTTAGGAAGTACAGACTGAATCCTCAGCCTTGCCTTTGAGGAAAATGTGAAATGCTTCAGCGCACCAAGAACACTTGCCGTGGTTGTAAAGAATAATTTGAAGCACTGAGGAAAGGAAGAACCAATATTAAATCCTCATCACTTCAGTGAAGTCTTACAATAAAACATCCTTTAGCACAGACAACACTGAGATATGGGGTGTGTGCTTCCTGATCACTGTGTGGTGGGGTGACAGAGTCTCAGCAGTCTTAGGGATCGTGCTGGAAATGATCAAATTACTCACAAAGCAGTCACACGGATCCCCCATAACAGAGCTCCAACAAAGCCTTTCTGCCACATCACACCCTCTGTTTAGCAACCCATATCTCATCCATATAAAAGAAGTTCCCTCCTCCTCCCATTTTTGTAGGCTTTCAGGCTATTTCTTCAATCCATCCTGGATAGCAGGACTGGCTCAGTGGTCCTCACCTCAAACCTCTTTCTGAACCATTGAAATTAATGGGAGCTTTCCAGTGCTTTTAATAGGAGCAAAACGTGCTGTCAACCAACAGGATTAAAAGAAGGGCACAAGAAAAATTTTTCAGAGATTAGCACCTGTAAAAATGTCAGCATTTTATATCTCATCTCCTAGGTCAATCAAAATGTCAAAGAAACTCTGACATTACAAAGGTCTCCACCCTTTGTAATTTCCACCAGAAAAAAAAAGCCCCTCTGATCAAATGAAAAAGTATATATTTGATAAACTAAAGATTTCCCCCCAACCCTGCCCCAAGCTCCCTAAAAGGGAAGGCAAGAGGGCTGGGACTAGGCAGCACAGAGAACAGCCAAATACCATTTCATGTTAAGCCTGCTTTACACAAGAATTTTTGGGGTCATGAAGTACCAATAGCTGGTTTAGCTGTGCCCAGCTCAGCCCAAAGTCACGCCACCAGCTCCCTCCCAAAAGCACAGCTGAAGTTTATGAGGGTGCCTGTGCTGGGAAAACTAATTTTACCCCTGAGGCTGCTGATGCCTGGTCTGCTGCTCTCCAAGCGCCCACTGCAAGCCACAGCATCAATGCAGTTCTGACCAGACCCTTCATTCTCCACCTCTCAGACCAGAGACTCCTTACAGCACCATCTATCATCCCAGTCTTTGAGGGGGCCTGGGGGCCTTCAGCTCTTCTCCATATTCCTCAGCCTCCTCGGGAGGCTCCAGGAGGATGTCTGCTTCTGTGTGTCCCAGAATTGGAGATACCCAAGGACGACTTGATGTTAGAGGAACAGCAGCTGAGGTATGCAAGTGTTGGAAAGGGAAATTTGATTGCACTGAAAAATAGAAAATACTATCCATAACTTTCAAACATAATTAGATACTATTATAGAATACTATAAGGAAATTTGCAAAACACTTCAGCCACCAAAACTGTAGAAGCACCTTCCACTAAAACTACCATATTTCTTTCATCTCCACCTGGCAAATGGTCATCACTATTCTTTTTCTGTAACATGACAACCTTTTCCACAATCTTTCTTCAGGTCAGTTACACTTGGTCTTGCAGAGCCAACACCAACAGCGAGGCCCTTCAGCTTTCTCCATTTACCCCCACACCCCCAGCTGTCTACATTTTGAATATCCCAGTGCACAATTTTCTTTCTTGTACTTTTGTACCTTTGTACATTCATCATTATTTTTGAGAAATCATGTTTTCCTGTTACTTCCTTCCCTTATGAGGCTGACCTAATAATTAGCCATTCATAGGAACTGTTTGCTTTTCTATCATGTTGTTGTAGATGGATTAGAGATAATGTATGAAAGTGCATGTAAAAAATATTCCAAAGTAAATACATTAAGAGAGTGTTAGACATACATTAGAACCGAGGGATATTTGTTTCTTAAAGAATTAATTCCCTTTTTGCTTTGTTCAAATTTTCACAAGACATCAATAGCAGATGTGGCCTGTGAAAGCTGATATAGACAACAATGGTTAGGAAAGATTGATAAAATACTGTGAGGAAAGAAATTACTGAAATTACTTAGATCCAGTATAGAAATGATTGCTTCTCTCATTGTAGCAGACTGCTGTGGGATGGCCATCCTGCAGCACTGTTCTTCCTCTGGCTCACCCTGTCTCATTAACATTATAACTGCAAGTGCAGCAGAGTGGCTGACGGGCAGAGTTCAACTCTGTGTCCCTTTTCGTTTTCATGGAGACTACAAGTCTGTTCAGCTCTTAATAAAATAACCCTCAACGTACCACAGTAAAATGAATTATATGTATAGTGGTACTTATAAAACAAGAATGCCTATGCAGGACCTTAAAAAATGCCTTTGGGCAGGTCAGTTCTCTGTCCCAATATGCAGTTGAGTATGAGTTTCTTCTATGCTTTAGTCTCTTGCAACTTAATTTTTTCACTTCAAACTCTTTATTTTTGACAAAATCTATTGCCACGTTGGGGCTTTTCTAAGAAGTCATCCTATCACCCTCTCTTTCTTTGTGAATGGCCCTCAAACAATACTACTGCTAGTTTTTAATGCCCACAAAGATGTGGGTGCAGCCTCAGTTTCATGTGCACTCATTAAACAAAGGTAAGAAATTGAGATCATTTAAGACTTTAAGCTTAGTAAGTGGTTTCCAGCCCATCCTGATTTTGCTAACCTGCTCTGTAAGTGATCTGAGAGGAGGAACCTGAAGAGGGAGGTATGTGCATCTTGGTTTTCTATGTTTAGCTACATGTCATGTTCTCTCTGCTTGGTCACTACTATCTTGGAACAAATTAGTGTCATAGACAAACAAAGTGGATTAAATAGCAAACACCAGATTTCTGGTGTTAACATAAATCCGAAGGGCTTCAGCACTGCAATTATTCCCCTGCAGCCACCAGTACAGAGGTGCTGGTGACTAAAGCCAGTGGATTTAATTGCTCTTAAAGATCTGCTTTCAAGAGAAATTCAAACTTTCCTTTCCTTATTGCTGTTTCTCCGAAAATTGTAGCATGTAGAAACCCTGAAGTTTGAGAGAGCAGGAAGGGTAAGAGAAAATGCCCACAGATATGGGACACGATATCTTAGCAGTGGTAAGACAAAAAGCTCTTTAATCACTTCATTAAAGGAAGTCATTTCAACCCAGGTCATAACAGTAGACTATTTAGTGGTCTTCACAAATTGAGAGGGAATAATAAGAAAGCAACAATTGTCAAATAAATGTGAATATTAAAATGCAAAAATGTAAATGGTATTTTAATACCACTTTTGTAGCATTTTAGTGGCTGCGTGTCCACACATACATGGATATTCAGCAGAGAGACAAAATGTCTTCTATGAGAATCAGATGTGAAGTTGCTCCTTACTTGAAAATACATCTTTAATTTCTTAGAACATATTTATTTTTACATTTTTAATTTTCTACTGTGAGAGTCAATTTTCTAAGATGCAGAAGCATTTTTGTTCTTTAAAGTTTGCCAATCAACCCAGGAAAGTAAAGACAGAACAAAGCCAAAACCTATTAAATTAGGAAATATGGTCACTGTAGCTCGTGTGCCACCTACTCAAAGTTGGCACTGAACTGAGTTCAGGAAATACACTAAGCAGTTTCACTCCTGGCTTTTTGCAAATGTCTGCCACAATCCTGTGGTTTCCTCAAAAGCATTTCGTCTTTGAACTTGTCTTAAGTATTTTTCTTAGAGGCTTTTTTATTTTTTTTTAATAAAAAGAAACACAACATGGATTGATTTCAAGCAGTTTGGTATAAGGACAAAAATTTCATATTGAAAAACTGCGGCTGTTTCTGAGTGCTCAGTCATAAGCTAAGGTAGGTGATCTTTCTCTTCTTAGAGACACAGTTTACTCGTCCAACAAGCAGGATAAACACTAAGAAAAAAAGAAATGTGGGGTGTATGAGACTGTGAAATGAACACTGCCGATAGTCCACCACAGGCTGGACACATTTTGTAATGCATGATAATATTTTCGTCCAGGGGAACAGATAACTTGCCTGAGGCATGCATCTTCAAAACATGAAAAAGAATGCAAATGGTTTGTGACTTTGCAAGCCTAAATGCAAAGGGCACGGCAGTATCCTAATGTGTGTTGTGGTTTTGCTTACCCTGCCCTCCTGCTGTGACAACAGCGCTCTGTCCTTCACAAAACTTTGCGCTTAGCTAAGCAAGCCAGTCCCAAACTTAGCCAACATAAATAACATCTGATCAAAAGCTACCTGGAGGTGAACCCAAAATGGGCATGACTAATTCAAAACAAATTTGTTTCTTAATTCAAGCTCACACTAGAGGAACATTCAGTGGTATCCCTCCATCTCCAGACTCGCACAGTAACGTACTCACAAATGACATGAGTGGACCAACATTTACAGATGTTTTACACACAAGTTTAGTGTCATTTAAACACAGAAAATACCGGGCCATGCCACTGCTGAAGGCACAAGCACTGGGGCACTGGGGTAGTCTTTTACTCACCTCTCCCGCTCCTGTTCCAAGAGGTTGGTAAAGTCATCGCTCTTGTTCATGTAATCTGTATGTTTATGCTTCTCATTTTCTAGCTCATAAACGGTGCGACGATGGCACTTTTCTGCCAGCAGGAGCTGTTCCAGCATACGCCGATATGTCTCTTTCTGCTTTTCTTCAAGTCTGTCCAGCTGGATTGCAGGAAAGGAGAACAGACTGTTTTAAAGGTCGCCATGCTTTACTTCATCTGATTTATTAACCAACAGTGTTGTGCTTGGTAAGTGCAACTCCCATAATTTTACGTCTTGGGTTGTACATAAAGCAGTGACTAGAAATAAGAATAACTGCTCCATGAAAGTATTGATTTATTTGGATGACATATTAGCAATAAATGTATGCATAGTTTTCAGATACACAAAAGACAGAACTTCACTTGGCTTTAGGGTAACAAATAATATTGTTGCAGTGCCATATTTCCCCTGTGGTGAGGTGCTGTGCACACTTTCTTCATTTCACAGGGAAAAAGCTGTAGCTCAGAACTCAGAGCCTGGGAGCCTGAATTCACACCCCTGTATGGGGACTAGATACTTGCACGTGGGGCATAAAACGTAATCTGAAGGCTGAAATTTGAGTTATGCATCTTTAACACGCCTCTAAGTCTGCTGAGATAAAAGAGACAAATTATTTAGATTCTGTCCAGATTCAGTTTTACATTACCAAGTACAATTAATTATAAGCCTTAGGAGTTTCTCCTCAGCCTGTTTTTTGACAGAAATTCTCTTTATTCACAACCCTTTACCCTTTTGGTTTTCTGCATTTTTTTTTGGCATATTAATTTAATATCCTGTTTATTATTCAAACAAACATTAAAACCAGGGAGGTGTGTCTAAAAAGTTGCCAGGGCACTCCAAATCCACCACAGCTATTCATGTTGCTCCTTTGGTGCAGATGACCAACTCCAGCCTTCTCCTGCCTTGGTACTTTTCTGGTTGCCTATCCCTGGCACAGTGGCTGGCAGAGCCTGCTCTGCCCATCCCGTCCTCACCCTATAAGAATCTCATCCTCCTCAACCCCAGCTGCCCTGGGCTGCTCTTGTTTCACAGAGTATCTCAGCAAACAGGGAAATAAGAGAGCAGGAGAACCGTGGCAATTTGCTCTCCAAAAGCTGACCATAGAAGTCAAAGTGAAAAAATCATTGCATTTTATAAAAGAACCAGGTTGGCTTCAGCTTTTCAGAGTTCATCTTTTGCACTTATTTTTTCTATTTTATTTCAACATAAGCCTTGTGAATATGCACATGATGAAAGCCTTGCTAAGCTCTTTTAATCTTGTTTGAGAATGTTTTATGTATGCTCCCACATACTAAGGGCTCATTTGCTTATTTACTATCATCACAGAAATTCCAGGAGATGCTTCAATGAGGACACACAGTACCAAGATATCCCATGGTAGACACAAGTCCTGGTGAAAAAATGAAATGTTCTAATTGGATGAACTATGAAGATTTGGACAGGCACTACAGTATGTTATATTGAATGTTGTTGCATGCTCCTTCCCCTCGACTGTTATGGAACTGTGAACAGGAGCAAAGGCTGTTTAATTTTGCATTCCTGCTGGCCTCAGACATTCTCAGGTCTACCTGACGTTCATTTATTGCTTAAATTTTGAAGCAAGGAGTCCTGTGAGTCTTCTTTAGGGGTTGAACTGACTTTGCAGTCCTAGAGTTTAAGTGATGTAAAATTAATACGGATTTATGATCCCATAAATATGGTCAAAGTCAATCTCCAAAAGTCTTCTTTTCTTAACTACCCTCATGACAGTGTTCTAGTATGCCAAGAAAATCAAAGAGTAGTTAGCAGTGCTGTGAGCAGTAGAGGTCGAAGCCTATAATTGAAAGGAATTTAAAAACCAGAAATTTAACACTCAAAGATTTGGGTCTTGCTTAACAGCACCAGCCCTAGGAAGTACACAACTTCTTTATGGTTTGTGTTCAAATCCAGTGACTTCACTTACAAATTCTACATATAAGGGAACAAGATTTTGTTTTCAGTGTATAAACTCTGTGTTTATACACGTGGATGTTTTGCAAACATCCAAAATATATGGAGCCTTACTTCCAGTTAGGCTTCCCCCTGCACAGACACAATGTTGTCAGTCAAGAAGTTGTTACCTCTGAAATTGGTTTCTCGTAGACATCTTCCCCTATAGACTTTTCTTGGGCAAGAATGGCATCCCTGTGTAGCACTCGAAGCACATTCTCTGGAGTTGCAGACCCGTAATGAGCTTCTAAAACTTCAGGTTTGGTTTTCTCTGTCTTCAGCATGTGGATCACATCCTCCCTTGCCTGTAATATTTCAAATCACTATCATGAGTCAACCTATTAACAGGGAACATGGGGAGAGTAAGGGCATTTCATACGTACAGACTGCATACACAAAAATAAAATAAATTAGAAAAATGACAGGCTGTCAATGCAAATATAAAGATTTTGGGAGATAACAGATTAAATGTGATCTGTTTCTACACAAATATTGTACTTTAAAGGATGAATTATTCTGTTCCTGTAGGACATTACATTTGAATGGTATGAATTTTTCTCTGAGTTGCAACTATAGCCAGGGAACATCATTATTCTTCATATACTGGATTTTAGTTGTTGCCCATGCTGTTTCCTGAAGGGATAAGGAAATGTGTAGAACAAGCAGCACAAGAGAGCTGAACTAATATTTCTCAAACAGCTACTTCCTAGTCACTCCCTAACTGAATCTGTGACTAAATATTCTTTTCAAGTAACTTTTAAAAGAAATTTTTCTATTTTTTTTTTTATCTTTATACAAAACCGTAGACATTTTGCAGGCCCCAGCTAATGAGACATGGAAAGTCGGAGCAAATCCTCCTGGCAGTGGAGGATGGCTGTGCTGCTGGAGCTGGGGCTGGGAGCAGGGGTGCACCTGAGGCTGAGGGCAGCCTGGAGCTCCCTGCCTCAGGTGGAAGCCCCCAGTTTCAGGCAGCATGAGCAAACATCTGGGCATGATGGGATGGCTCTGCAAGGCCACCTGGCTATGAATAAGGAGCATTTTAGGGCTATGATGTGGACAAACACTTAAGCCGCGGCTCTGTTTCCAATGACACTTGCCAACACCTGTTAAGCCATCTGTAAAATGGGGGCAGGGCACCTGCTTGTCTTTCAAGGCATGTTTATGAGGCCATAGTCCAGGGAGGGACTGTAAAACCTACAGGTTTTTGGTGGGCAAAGGGGAGCTCCTGGATTTCCTTAGAGAACATCTTTCCCACAAGTGCAAATGGATGGGGGAGCAGAAGAGTATGGGCATTTTTTTCATGCCTGTCTTTCTGACAATCATGTGAGCTTGGGAAGTAAATTAAGCACTAAGGAAGCATTCAGACATTTTAGGAAAAAATCCTTTACAAAGCCTGCTGCTATGTAAGCAATGGCTGTTTTAAAATTTATGATCTGACCAACTCTTCATGCTTTCCCATGCTGTTCATAACAGCATTCAATTCATCCATCCCTGTAGTAAATCTCAAATCTTTACCCAGAACCATAGAGGCATCACAGCTCAGCAAAACCACTTGATTTTAAAATGAGCAAGAAAATAATTTTGGGAAATGGCAAAGACCTTTTAATTTTTTATTTTTTTTTAATTTAAAACAGTGTAACATTAAAATAAATAATGAACTTCAGGCAAAGATCATGTCATCTAATTAAGAACTAGCCCAATTGCACTCTATAACATTTTGTAACCTTAAGTAAAGTCTTTGCACTTGTCTGCAAGATACAAAAAGCAGATTGGAATGGTATTCACATTATTTCAAAATGATAGTGGGAAAGGTTCATCACTAATGGATATTGCAACTAAGTGAATCATGTGGGCTAGTCCCAAAGAAAGGCAAAGAGCATGTACACCTCACTACATTACATCCTGAGACTGTGTCACTCTCAGTACAGGAAAAATGTTATTTTTGGCAAGTTCTAGACAGGTTTGTGAATGTATTACTTTTCTCTAGCCCTGTAGAAATAACTGATGTCTTAGTGTCTTCGTCACCATGAGGACAATGTTTCTATATTGAAGAAAAGTCCTTTAAAAAGTCCAGTAGGATAGCATGGGAGTATGGAGGGATTTCTAAATATCTAGATTTCCTGATGTATTGTCTTAAGCCCTTTCAGGAAGAGGCAGTTTTGAGGCCGTACCTTTGTCCTGTCACAAAGAACTAATTTGGTGTCCCTCTGTGTGCCTCCCAGCAGGGTCCCTGTGCCACAGGCATGCTCAGGGAGAGCTCCGTGCAAAGGGAGCACCAACACGGAGGGATGGGGATGAGGGAGCAGCTCCCTTCTACCCGCTGCACCAAGGGACACAGCCAATCACGTTGAAACGATTTTTTGTTTTGATTCTGGGCACACAAAGCTTCAGGCCCCACACAGCCCATTCCTCAGGGAACACCTCAGACCTTAAGCTATTTGGGAGGGGAGGAGGATGAGTTCATTCTCATGTTGTAGCTGTTGGGTCCTGGATGGCATAATTAAACACTGACAAGGCAGACAGAGACAGCTTGGGATTGGGGATTTAACACTGTGAATAGGCAGAGCAAAAAGCTGGACTCCAGTCCCTGCAATGGTTATTTGATACAAAAATAGATGGTGGAGGCAGCTGCTCTGCCCAGCAAGTGCCCCGGCCCCTGGTCGGTTGTGCACTGCCTGACTTTGCTTCAGCCCTCATTAGTCTGTCATCACTTACAATTCAACGGGGCAACTTTAGCACAAGGGAGCAGGAATAAGAGTCCCTGAAACAGCTAAAAGTGTCTCTGCTAAGAAAGGCTTCTGGATGCTGCATGTTTGGGTCCCCCAAAAGGCAGAGGGAGTCAAGCCAGAGGGAGCCAAGCCAGGGGAGTGGATGGTGCTGACTGGAGGAGCTGACACCCCAAGAAGAAAAATAGGTGACCAAGTTCAGTTGAGAGCTTTGAAGAAAAAAACCCATGAATTGTCACCTTGAAATCTAAAGCCTTCTGATAATGTTTTCATAGTTTTAGTTACTTTCCCTAGAAAATTCTATAAACATAAGTTGTTTATCACATTCCTTCTAAGAAACGTCTTTTAATGGATGTTTTGCATGAGCAGTGTGATTGGGAAAGTGGTAACTTAATTATCCAATCCCTGGTCATTGTCAAGAATCTATAAATACTGGAGTCAGAGAATAAAGGTTGGTTCCTTCCTGTTCTAATGCTGAAAGGTGGTCGTGTGAATAATTTTGTGCCCTTTAGTGACAATGAATTACTTCATCTTTTAAGGGAAGCAGTGACACACACACCTATCTCCAAGGGAACACAGTAGGACAGTCAGCACTGACCATCCCTTGCTGCAGCCCATGGGGAGGGTACCTAGCCCAGAATCAGGCTGGCTGGCACCATCCCCAGAGGCACACTCAGCTGCCCTCTCCTGTACCCCTTCTTGGGTATCCCACACTCTGCTGGCCCTCTGGATTTGGATGGTGTTAATGTGATAAGCTGCCTTTTGCCTTTTCTGGGCTCAGCCATTTCTCCTATCGTTATCTTTTCGAGGGTATTGGTTAATTCACCAAGTACTTTGTTTCAGTTGTGATAACAGTTTGTGAAAAACAAATGACAAACAGACACACGGGTTGCTAGGAAGCATTGAACCAAAAAGGGAACCTAATGCTAATAATAAACTGGAGACAAATTTGCTTTTATTTGGTCAGAAACAAGCTCCATCATAGGGAGATTCTGAAGGGCAGCTAACCTAGGTCAGAGAGACATCCAGACAATGTCCTAACCTTCCATCAGCCTCAGGGTTTGTGAATTCCAGTTAGTCTCTCTGAAGCTCCTCAGGATAATATAGAGGGAAGGAGCTGAAACAGCATGCCTTTGTATCTCATGATTTCATGTTTCTCCAAATGACCAATTTTCCCCTGAAACAACTAGAAGAGAGGTCAGATAGAGATGTCTTCTTCCAATGTGTAGTGATCTGCAGGAAACAGACAGAAAACAAGTCTCCAGAAAACAAGTCAGAATAATCCTGCAGTGGAACACTGGGGCTGCTTCAAAATTCATACCTGTGAAGAGGCATGAGAGGCTCAGAGAGGGGGGCCCTAGCTAAGAAGAGGGGACTTTGCTGGCAAGCTGTTTCTACCGATGGACATCTACTGCTGGTGCCACCCTCGCCCCAAAGCACAATGCTGTTTTGCGTAAATTGTAAGCTAGGAGACAAACACAAGGAAGATATTTCAAACTGCAAGTAAACTTGCATATGAATCCCAGAGAACAGTTTTTAGCTGTTTTGGTAGAAGGGACATGATGTTTGGCACAAGAAAATCATCTCTCAAGTCCTGTTTTTGTTTTGTTTTGTTGGTGCTGTGATGAGAAAGAGCATCCAGGCTTGAGAAGACCGCATATTGCAACAGCTTGTAATACAATGAAACTTATTTGCAAAAGTCCAGAAGACTGCAATTAGTCAGAGAAGCTCTTTAAAGTCAAAATATGGAATTTAGAAAATTTACTTTTATTAGTTCTTCATTACTTCAATTGTTCTATGGAAAACTCCGAGCTACCTTTCTATCTATACTGTTGAGACTGTGAGTTCTTGAAAATAAAGAGACTTTTCCATTAATAAAGTATCCTAAGCACCTGATTCTCTAAGCAGTAGGAGCAATAAAGAGAGATTAAAGATGACCTAATTTAACTCCTTCAGTTGCTCCTGTTGATAGAGGAGCTGCAAAGTAGAACTATATCTAAGCCTTGTTTTATGCTAACTGGAGGTGCCAAAACCTACAGGCTGATGACCTCAGTTCTTGAGTACACCCAAGTATGGAGGTCCTGAGGGGCTGTGGAGCACTGCTGTCCCACAAAGTTTTGCCTGTTCTCCTTTCCCTCCCCTCTATTCCCCACTCATGAGTGCACTTACCGAAGATGTGGGGTCTGCGTTACTACCTGGGAAATCCAAGACAATGCTCCCCTTCTCTCATGAGTGCACACTACTTGCCCAGATGGAAGGCTGACATGAGCCCACTTCTCACAGGGCTACCCTGAAACACTTCTTGGCAGAATAAAATCAAAGGACTTTCTTTTGCTCACCAACTTGAGCGGAGCAGGGGGCTCTGTTCCAAACCTCACTTTACTATGCGCCTAGTAAAATATTTAAAAGATATAGAAAGGATGTAAAGAGGTTCCTGCATAAAACTGAAACCATTTAGGAAACAATAGCATGACTCTGCTGCTTGTAAAAGGGGTCCGGCAGCCTAGCAACCGGATTCTTGGTCAATGGAAAGACTGTTACACAAGCCGGGCGTTCAGACGTGCTTCTTCCTTGTGCCC